TGCAAAAAAATGTGAGCTTCCTGGTAACCTAGGAGAAAGGGGAATTAGGGAAAGGGATGTTTCTGCCTCCTTCAGCCTAGGATATATTTTTCCAGTCCAGACAGGGACAAAAGAGGAGGAGGGTAGGGAAAATGATGCTGGGCACCGTCAATACCTTGCTGTGTCTGAGGGGTCTAGGGAGCTGCAGGCTGCAGTAGAACCAAGAGAAGGGGAGGATGAAGTGCTAGGCAGAGCCCTACACCCAGTCCCCCTGACTCCCCAGCTGCCTGGCTCGAGTAACAGGAGAGCTGACCATGACTTTCCCTGCGGGCATTGTGCGTGTGTTCAGTGGGACCCCACCCCCACCTGTCCTCAGCTTTCGGCTTGTACACATGACCCCCATTGAGCACTTCCAGCCAAATGCGGATCTGCTCTTCAGGTACTATGCATGAGCAGTGGGAAGGGTCTCAGAGGCTGGTGGGAGTCAGGGGTTCCCAACTCTGAATTTTCTGGGTGGCTTGGGATAAGTTGCTTGCCCTCTCTGAACCTTGCTTCCCTCCTTTACTGTCCCCCTCCACTACCCAGGTAGGGCTTTGCTGGGCCCAGGATGGGCCATGAAATTGCACCTTTAGGAAGCCCTTGGGTGTGGGTTGGATGGTGCCAACCCTGGGAGAGCATTTCCTGAGGGCTGGGGTGATTAGTCCGGGTCTCTGCAGTGACCCTTCCCAGAGTGACCCTGAGACCAAAGATTTCTGGCTCAACATGGCAGCTCTGACTGAGGCCCTGCAGCGCCAGGCAGAGCAAAATCCTGCTGCCTCCTACTACAATGTGGTGCTGCTGCGATATCAGGTGGGCCACATGCATGGGACAAAGCTGAAGGGGACAGGGAGGGGGTAACAGGGTAGAGGACAAGGTGAGCGGGCAGCACAAAGGAGTGCCAAATGAGGGGGTAGTACACAGGGTGGGCGGGGAATGAATCCTGTTGTGTAGACAGTGTGAGAGGGCATTGCATCTCCGAGAGCAGATGGTGCCCTTATGCAAGCTGGAAGAGGCCCATCCCCAGTACTTGGACTT